TGGCCTGCTAAGCAGCTTGCACCAGTGTAAGAGCTAGGCTAGAAGTGGAGAGCAGGCAACTGCGGCTGTTGGTTGTGTGGTAGCCTGCATAGATGGTCAGCTCTGTTCTGCAAATGGAGCCCATCTTTACCCCGGTTGAAGGGCAGCCTGCAAAGAACCAAATGAGACATAATGACAGTAAAACAGAACGGTTTCACAGCGGCAACAAACAAGTGAGCTCCAGACCTCTCCTCAGGGCATGAGATTTGCTCTTCAAACAACCCTCCCTCCCACGGGGGTTCCCATACGCTACAGTTCACATCTTGAGACACAGTGTCATTAGGCTGCTTTCCCTTGTAGGCTCAGGCTGCTGCACTGGAGCGCCACCTGCCCTTTTTGTCCCGTCGGGCTGTGCTTCTGCAAGGCCAAGAAGGGTTGCTAGTGTTTGCCAGCAAAAGCAACAGCTGGGATAGCTGGTAGTCACCCAAATATGTGCCTGTGATCCCTGCTTCTTCCACTTACATGTGGGGTTATATTGGCAAGGCACCCTGCCAACATTGCTGCAATACTCTGCTGGCATATCATCGAGCCCCTTGCCCCCTTGCAGCACATACTTACCCTGTGCTCTCTCTGTAGGAGACAATGCTAGTAACTGTTGAGAGTAGAAGAGCTGCTGAACAAAGACACTGGAGGCACATGTTGCAGCAGGGAGTGAGGCGAGAAGTCCATGCTCGTAGCAGGGGATCATCATTCCCTATGTGAGGTGCATTGGCCTTGCATTTCCAGGCACTGTTTGTGTCCTGGGGTGCAGTACCTGTAAGGGTTCTGAGCAGAACAGTGTTAGATATATGCAATAACAATTGCCACTCTCTTCCTTGGTTGTTTCTGGAAAATCTTCCCTTTCTGTGCAACATGCCCTTTTTCTAGATTTCTCTTAACTTTTACAGGAAGTGCCTGAAGAGAGCACTGTAAACAAGAACAGAGTCTTTAACCACCTGCTCCCCTCCCCACTGGTCTATAAGAGAACAGATTCATTATTAAGTAACCTGGGTTTCAATAGTCCACATTGTACAGAGAGAAATACAGGTTAAAAATACCCAGATAAATGAATTCCCTATTTGTGATTTTGCTCATTTGAAGGCGAATGTACTCACTGAGCAAGCCCTTTGTATGCCTACGACAGCAACTGATTTTGTGTTCTCTGTAACGTCTTATCTGCTACACATACAAGTTACTACAAAAAAGGTCACGAAGACCTTCGAGGCTGTGTTTCTTGTCTCCGCTCTGTGCCAGTGCCTTGCCTGCCATGGTCAAGCGGCAGAGGGAGAACAAGGTGAAACTGAAGCTAAGCAAGAAGGAAACACTGCTAGTTTGCAAAGATGCTGTTCTGGATAGGATCCTGTTGCCTTGCCCTTGAGGAGGTGAATCTTTTCTAACAAACTCGATGAAGAGCGTGGGAGTTTTGTTAGGACCAAAGCCAAAAAGGACTCCAGGAAGCACCTTAGAGCAGGGGTCCCCAACACAGTGATTTTTGAAAGTGGGTGGGGTCAAGTGGGGCTTTGGCCCAGCAGCACATTTGATTGGCTGTGCAGGTTTTTAAAATTTCTGGCACTTCCACACACGCTAAATAATGCACTTTCAATGCACTGTGTGAGAGATGGCTTTCCAGATCAGCGAAATCACGGATTCAAAGCACAAATACCCAGAAAGTACTTGATTTTCCCAGTGTCGGAATACTCGCTAGGGAACTGGGAGGACTGCGCGACTGAGCCCACTTTGGTGCGGGAGGCGGATGCGGCATCTGATCAGCAATTTTAAATGCAAGAGAGAATAGCGGTGAAACCCCATCAAAAGGACCATGTAACCACGGCCAGAGTGTGTGAGAGCATCCAATGTAAATTGACAAAATAGGAAGTTACAGAAGTATAGCTGAACTCATTAGCATCCATAAGAAGCAGGATGCCCTAAACATTAGCATCTCTAATGAGCGAAGAATCCCCAGGTCTTTGTTAAATTCAGGTGGGATAGCCATGTTGGTCTTAAGCAGCGGAACAAAGTCTGAGTCCAGTGGCACCTTTAAGACCAACAAAGTTTTATTCATGGTATAAGCTTTTGTAGTCCTTAAAAGTGCCACTGAACTCAAACTTTGTTCAGGTCTTTCTTGAGAACCTCCACTGATTCTAACATCACACTTTTGCTTTGGATTCTCCCTTTTAAGTTTTTATACAACGGTGTCACTGAGGTCAACAACAGAGTGCCCTAGAATATTGAAATGCTCACCCACTGGTTTCTGACTATTGCAATTTTTAAACGTCATATTAGTGTCCATTTATCCTTTGCACAGGGATGGACCTGCTTGTCTACTACAGAGAGCAGAACTGCACTGTTGACACATGATGGCATGTATTACACTGGAGGATGACCACGCGGACAGTGCATTTGGTGCTATTAGGTTCTGTGATCCTGTTGCATAAGTGTTTATGAGGACAAAGCTGGCATCTAGGTCTATTGCAGGGTCTGGTTCTTGAGTCTATGCTTCTGTTAGGTAGCGCGTTGTTGTAGAAGAGAAGCTGTTTTAGATCAGGGAAGTGCCTATAAGTAAGACAAGTCCTGCCACATAAGGCCTGCATATGAGAAAGAGAACCTACCTTTATTCAGGGTGGGCTGCAGACCATTAATAATGTATTGGACTGTCGTTTGCTTTGGGCCTGCCTTGTTGGAGGTTATTTCTGGGAATCCATCTGGCTTTATCAATCTGCTCTACTTGCTTTTGTGGGTAGTGTCATCCCAGGAATATTGCAAATCCTTCCGGTGACAGTCCCTCTCTGAGGAATTAGAACAAATGTGGTTGCAATGCAGACTGCAGACTAGGATTGCCAGCCCCCCCCCCCCTGCCCACTTAGTGGAGGATGGGAGGGTAGGGCTGCCAGATCCAGGTTGAGAAACTCCTGGAGATTTGGGGATGGAGCCTGGGGAGGACAGGGACCTCAGTGGGGTACAATGCCACAGAGTCTACCCTCCAAAACATCCATTTTATCTAGGGGAACTGATCTCTGTAGTGTGGAGATGATCTGTAATTCTGGGAGATTCCCAGGTTCAACCTGGAGCTGTATTTCTGGGGGGGGGGGTCTTCAGATGCCAGACAATAGATTGCCTGGGTGGCAATCTAGAAGCAGACAGATATGTATGGCGATAAGAGGTCACATTATGAGAAGACAAGAGTTACTGGAAAAAACAATAATGCTAGGAAAATTTGGAGGCAACAGGAAAAGAAGAAGACCCAACATGAGATGGATTTTAACTCAATAAAGGGAGCCATGGTCATTAGTTTGCAGGATCTGAGCAAGGCTGTTAACAATGGGACATTTTGGAAGACATTAATTCATAGGGTTGCCATAAGTTTGAAGTTGGGTTGCCTGAGGGCCCAAAAGCGGGCAAACCTCCGACCCCATCAGGGGAATAGCAGGCCTAGTTGGAAGTGACTTGATAGCACTTAACACACAAAAGTGGGTCTCTGTTGGACCCCATTCTTCTGTTTGAAAAATAAGTTGATATGGTGGCTTATAAGTGCTTCATTTCCAAATTCATCTAGCATGCATGTTAGCTTCCCTCCTAGATTCAGCCAACCTAGCCACTGTGATCTATTATACAGTAACATCAAGACTAGGCTATAATATGGTCTTCATGGACTGCTTTGGCAGCCACCTTGGAAACTTCAATTGGTTCAAAATATGGCAGCTCTATTGCTGCTGATTTTTAACGTTAAAGCCCTTCACAACTTGAGGCTCACATACTTGAGGGACTGTCACTCCCAACATAAACCCATGTGGCAACTTAAGTTACCAATGCCTCCACTCCTTTTTGTACGTATTTACTTCATTTATACCTCATCTTTCTCCTCAATGGGGACCCAAAGCAGTTTGTATCATTCTCCTCCACCCAGCCCTGGGCCTTTATAGGTGTGGCTTTCACACTTGGAAGAGCCTTCCTGAAAATGTTAAGAAAGCTCCTATTCTGCTTGTGTTTAGATAATATCCTAAGACATAATTTTTTTTTCTTTTGCAGGTACCTAGCAGACCAGAGAATAAATCATTTGCTATTTTATCGGTTTATGATTTTTTCCCCTAAAATTATTTTTAAGGATTATTGTTAGTTTGCTTTGAGTCCTCCTGACAGGAAGTGTGCTAAATGTTTAATAAACTTTTGAATTGAGAGGTCAGGCCTGCTTCAAAGCTGTGCTCTCTGATCTGAAAGTATATTCTTGTTTCAACATACAGACACTCTCTTCCTCACAAGTATATAACTGAACCCCAGTGTGAACTGGTCAAAACTGAGTTCTGATAGGATTTCTCTCCTTCACATAGACTTGATTCAGACACAATGCATGACCATAGTTTAACTATAGTTAGTTTCTGAAACCAAGACACTGCTCACAGATGATCATGCTTGTTTCATTGCCCTTGCTCTGTCAACACCCCACTCTCCCCTCCAGGGCCGGCTCTATTACTAGGCCAGCTAGTGTCTGGCCTAGGGCATGCCAGCCCTCAGGGGCGCCAAACTGCACCCCCCCACAACCCGCTGCCCTAACCGGGCGCCCACCCCTCTGGCGCCCTTAGCAACTCAGGAGCGCCCGGCGGAGGCGGCCGGGGAAGCTTTTCCCGGAAAACCCGCCAGCGGCACGTGGGGGGCGTGGCGCGCAGGCAGACGTGGCTCTGCAGTTCAGAGCTGCGCACCCCCGCGATCCTGCTCACTCCTCGCCGCCACACCCTCTCCCATGCCGCCAGCCGCCGCCCCCTGTGGCTTCTTCACCCGGCAGAGAGGATGCAGCGGGGGCAGGGGGGAGGCGGCGGTGGGGGGGAAAGGGACTGCGTAGTCAGGATTTGTTCACAGCATCTGAACAAGTAGGCTGTAAACCATGAAAACTTCTGCCAGAATAAAATCTTGTAAGTCTTTAAGGAGCCAAAAAGACTCCTGAATATTTTGTACGTTTTGACAGTACAGAAACAACTGAAGATACTCACATATTTGCCCATTATCAGAGAACTGAAGAAGTTGCATATGGAAAAGCATCCAAAAATGAGTCCAACTACTGTACTACTGGCACCTTTCTTTTCAGCCTAAAAAACAGAAAGAAAAAAGATTCAGACACAAATGCTCAGAACAGAAGCACCACCCATGCCATGTGGGAAACTGCTATATGGCCACGGAAACGCAAGCCTAAGGTCTCCCCTTAGTATCAGCAACCAAGGCAGAACAAGCTTATCCAAGACTACTCAAGCCAATTGCACTACCACAGCAAATCAGATAAATGAATTCCCTATTTGTGATTTTGCTCATTTGAATGCGAATGTACTCACTGAGCATGCCCTTTGTATGCCTACAACAGCAACTGATTTTGTGTTCTCTGTAACGTCTTAGCTGCTACACATACAAGTTACTACAAAAAAGGAGGCGAGCGGCGGCTGGGTGACTCTCCTCCCAGCCTGGTTCTGGCAGAGAGGTCTCTAGGCCCCGCCGGGAGGTTGGCATTTGCGCTCGCCTAGAGCGCAGGACAACCTCGGGCCGGCCCTGCTCCCCTCACAGAAACACAACTAGTATCTTAGTCTGTACAGCAATAAGGGTGGCACCAGGGAATAAGCTAGGCTATTCATGTCTGTATGTTACACTAAATATCATTAAGTCTAATTGTGGATAATATGCTAATTTCAAGCCACGGTTCCACCTATTTCCCATGGTTAATGAAGTGGCCCACATTCAGTTGACTGCACTAACAAAAACAGAATTTTGGTTTTGTGTAACATATGATCCATAGAATACCTCAGAAAAGCATACCATATACATCTTGTAATACACATACAGACTCATTCCATTTGTACTCCTGTTGCTGTTTTTGCATTTTAAAACCAAGTGAAAATTTTTAATACAGAGAAAAATCTAAACCCAAATTTCTTGAACTAAGGGGTAAGTTGTATGGCTGAAAATACTGGAAGTTCACACACTCTAGTAGAGTTAAACCTAAAGGGTCCTGGTGGCTTTTGTTATTGACTTCTTCAAACTCTGTCAAGGCTCTATTTGCTGCTTTATTGGTTTCCACATTTAGAAGAACATATTTAACAATCTGAGGACAATATTATATGTGGGTCCAAATGTCAGGCTGGGGAAGTGTTCCCAACAGAATAGCACAAGGGGGAAGAAATTTTAAAACTGGAAAGGGAGGAGTGTACTCCTGGTTACCAGTGATGGAAGATCAAATAGCATGTACTCCTAACATTGAAGAAAGCTTGTGTGGGCAGAGCTTACACAATTGCAATAGAAACACTAACATGGTGGTGGTGGTGAGGAGATAAGATCTTCTCAACAGTGTTGTTCTTTTATGTCCTCTGCTAGAAAACTTACTTCTTCATGTCCAAAATACATGTTAATGGTTATTATTACACGTTACTAAAGGCATTGCAGATATTACAAACTGAACAATTCTATAAATTGGGGTTTTTTTACATGAGATATGTGCATTAGAACGCCAAATTATATATCCCGTTTACCTCTCTTGGAAAAAAGGGTCCCAGGATTGAGTAGCAAATCATTGAACTGAAGTTAATGGATGCTGTCGCTGCCAATATAAAAATCTTTTCTTTGGTGAGCCTTCTGGATTCTTCATTGACAACTTCTGGTCTATCATTGTCTTCGGAATAAAATATTTCTATTAGAACATACAAAGCAAGGCAGCTTTCAGCCCAACAACTTTCAAAATAGAAAACAAGCAATTTGCAACTGCAGCTTTTATACTTCAGGCAAATAGTAAAAGTAATACTGAAGTATCAGGACAAATTCTGCTATGAAGGAAACCCAATAGAGATACACCTGCTTGTTCAGGGCCCAATAATTTGTCCCACAATACTTAAATAAAACAGCTTACATCCCTGATATGTAAAACCAAATTATTTACCAAGTTATAATGTACACTAAAATAAGGTGGGCTCTTTGCCCAACCAGATAAATCTCCAGTCTCAGTTATAATTAATATTTCAAAATATGTCTTCTTATATATCAAAGACATTAAAATCTAGATTTTAGCTGGATCTATAAGACTAGAAGCTTATGGATGTTACATATCTTCAAGAGACATTTAAAATCAGAAAAGATAGATTTAGATTGCTAAATGGATAAGGTAAGCAAGAAAGGTATACAAAAATTAATTTCTACATATGCAATGTGGTCATCTTTAGAAATACATTCTAAGAGACTCTAATGTAACTAATTCAGCAAATTATTGAGGACATGAAACACCATTTCAAAATCATCTACTTAGTGATGGCATCCTGATGAGTCATTTATTTTGTCTTAAAGAAGGGATTAAACAGCTCGGCACCGTCTTTTTCTAAAGCCACAGCAAAACGAGCAACTCCCTTCCAATGGCAAGAGAAAGAATAGCACCGAGATCTTGTATAACATGCAAACAACCAAGGAAGGAGAGCAAGCCAAGTAGGAAGAAGCCTATCCCGAAGATAGGAAGCCCTTTCCATTTCCCTTAAAGAGACAAGTACAGTTCCTGAGGAAAAAAGTATCCTCTCTCGGCCAATTAACTTAGTTTAATTGTCTTCTACGTGCCTTGAAGGTACAATGTCGGCTGGCCGGCCATGGCACGCCAAGGAAGGAGAAAGGTCTTTCTCAGCACCTGTCAGACTTGAAGGCGCCAGAGATTGAACTTGGCACCTTGGGCACGCTCAGCGTGGGCTCCACTGTTGACACAGGGGCTCTTTCCAACCCGATTTCCCTTATCTTGTTTAGTCGTTCAAAAACCAAACAGAAAGCAGGGTCTCTTTCTCTTCTTAATCAACAGGGTAGAAACAGCCAAGAATGAGGGAGGGAGGGAGGGAATGAGTGAGGGGAGGGGGAGCTGCCGCTCTGCCATATGTAACTGCGTACACAGTCAAATTAACGAGACTTTTCTATTGTAAAAAACGGGCAGAAACACATTTTACCGAAAAGACTGACGACACCCCAAATTAATTACCACCCTTGTTTTACTAGAACCGCCACACATGGCGGATTATAACCAAACCCCTTTTCTCATTACTTGTTAAAGTCAGCTGAATCGTGCCAGTGCCAAGGCATAATTAATTGCCTTGAGGCTGCTCTTCGGCGAGTACGCTGCTAGTAAGCCCCTGCCCCACTGAGCCTTGCTTGGGAGCAGTGTCGGGCGGCGAGCGATCTGGAGTTTGGGACCCTAAGGAAGCTTTCTAAGGAAAGCGAAAGTCCATTGCAATGAAGAACGCTAAATAAAGCGGAGTTCCATTTGAGATCACTTCACACCCACCTGGAAAGTGGCCCGTTTCTACCGCCGCAGCTTCGTGACTACCCATAGCCAAAAAAAATAAAATGACAATAAGCCGGTTCCGGTAACTGTTGCTTCCAAAGCAGAGATCTCGTTCTACGTTCACAACAAGGATGGGCAGAGGAAACACAGACGCTTCAGCTACTGAGCATGTTCAGCTTCAAGCCACAACTACAGGCGATTCCGCTGGTGCCCCGCAAGAAACATACCATCTGATGGGAAGGCTTTCCCCTCTTGGCTAAAAGCTGCAATCGGAAATTACCTCACTCCGAAATTTTTGGCTTTTTTTT